CACCAAAAACTCACTTGTCAATTCAAATTATCCCATATTATGAACAAAAGACATCAAAAAGTAATCAGAAGTAAATCATTATTAATGTTACCTTATTTCAGTTCACGCTATTAATGAACATTGCAAACTTAAGATAACCAAATTCAAATCGAACTCTAAGTGTTAATTTGGTATTGAATTTAAATCACTCAATTAAACATGCGTACACTTTGTATTTCTTACCTCTTTTTTTACTCAATGAACTGTCAAAAAAGAATTCTTTCATCTGGGGAATTCCACTAAAAAGCCAAACACATATTATTCTTGACGACCATGAATTTCAAAAGAATTGCGATACAAAGACAACAACATACTGGCGGTGTAGCAAATGAAGATCATATAATAACTCAAAAACTCTAATCGCATGTGGGGGCGATATAATCTCAAACAGCAATGCAGCTAGTCACAAGTTCTGATTTAAAATCACGTTGATTACTGACTAACGTCTAGCGATGTTGTTCACATAAAAATCAGAATCCAGGTTTTGAGCCAATTTTAGTCGGAACTGGTTAGAACAAGTCAGAGATTTCATTTAAAGAGTATAGCGAAAATTCATAATGGGCGAAAATTCGTAACAGGCGACAGTTTGTACCAAACGATAAATCATAACATGGCTATGGCAAAGAGAATACGCTAGCTCTGCTTCGGTCTGCTGTGCTTACAGGAATACTGCGCGTGAGTCCATGTTCCCCGTTTAATCTATTTTTACGACTTTTTAGTTGGTACGAGTTGTCGCCTGTTCTGAAATGTCGCCTGTTACGAACGGTCGCCTGTTATGAATTGTCGCCTCGCGAATTAAAAGCTCGAATCTCAACTGTAATGGCCTGACAATGATTTATGATGTATTGGTGTCAAGGAAAAAGATGACGTACCATAAGATCCAACCTAATAAAACTGCCCTTACCGTAAATTCCGTTGTCAATTCAAGTTATCCCAGATCATGAACAAAAGACACGATCAAAAAGTAATCAGAAGTAAATCATGGGTAATGTTACTTCACTTAAGTTATTAATGTTCACTATTAAAGAACATTGCAAACCTAAGATAACCAAATTCAGATCGAACTCATTTTTTGGATAAACATATTGCAGCATGTGTTTCATTTAACATTAAAGTGGCATTGACTTAAAATCACCCAATTAAACATGCGTACACTTTGTATTTATTATCTCTTTTTTTTTACTCATTGAACTGTCAAAAAAGAATTCTTTCATCTGGGGAACCTCCAAGAAGGCCAAACACTTATTACTCTTGACGGCCATGAATTTCAAATGAGTCGCGATAAAAAGACAACGACACTGGTGGTGTAGCCAATGGAGATCAAAGGAAAACACAAAATATCTAATCGAATGTGGTGCGATATAATCTCAAACATCAATGAAGCTAATCAGAAATTCAAAACAGGACGCTAAAAAGCAAGACAATAAGATCAGCAAATGAAAGGGTCAATCAGAAATCAATTAAAACCCTTAAACAGTCAGATCATTGCAGCTAGTTTACAATTGGGGAAGGATGACAAGCCAACCCAACTGTCCTCGCTATCCCGGTCTTTGATAACGTGAACTCTAAACCGAAGCAAGTGAACGACATCATTGCCCACCATTGTCACAAATGACCGTCATTTCGAACAATAGCAGTTTATTTTAAGCGGGTTTTCAGCACGAAAGAATCAGCTCTGTTTTCTTCCCGCAACAAAAATTGGTTCTGGGAGAGCCCTCGCCAGCCGTTTGTCTATCTAGATCTGCACCGAAACTTTTTTTATTGGAATGGGTTTTTTGCCATTCATGTTCTGCCGGTAGCTTTATCAAAATTGAAGCTCAATTTCTAATTCATAAACCCAAGTTTCCTAATCATGAATTGAGCTCATTTGAAAAAAATGGAAGACAAATTATACGAAGCTGGTTGCTATGCTGTCAGTACAAAACTTTTAATCATCGTTTCCAACGCAAATATGTTTTGCTTTAAAGCTTTTTAGTTGAATACACAAGGGCCGTTATTTTTTTGTGCGAGTCGATTTTTTCGGGAGGTTCTCTTTTTTTGAATTATTAGTATCTTTTTATAGTTGAATTTTTTGTTTCAGCTCTGAAAATTTAAAAAATTGATATAATAGATGCTGCATTTCGCGGAAGATTCATTGTTGCTAAAATTTTTAGAAACACTTCACTCTTTTGTTATTGGGTATCGGACAAAATTGGCCGGGGAAAAATGAACTCTTTTTGCATGTGTGATATATGCTGCCAACACAGTAAGTATTACTAGGTAATCTCAAGTCGCAAGAGTGCGAACCGATAGAACTAACTACACAGTGAGTGACTGATGCTTGCAGGCACTTCCCGGTTCGAAAACTGCGAATTGTATCTAGAATTTGAAAGTCGCAGATCAGACCCAAGTTGAACTTTTAAGCAGTTTTTAGGCCGCCAAGTTCTATAAATCGAAAATTTTGTCACAGTAACAAAAAAATAGTCCAAAATGCAGAAATTGTCCAAGACAAGGGGTTCCCAGACAATTTTTCCAAAAACTGTTTCGGCAAAAACAATCCAGAATGCAAAAACTGTTCAATAGATAAATAGTCCAAAATGCAGAAATTGTCCAAGACAAGGGGTTCCCAGACAATTTTTCCGAAAACTGTTTCGGCAAAAACAATCCAGAATGCAAAAATTATTCAATACATTAAGTTCCCAGATAACTGGGTACAAAAAGTGTCCGGGCTTTTGCCAAACTAGTTAATGACCGGAAGAATTTGATAAGTTCTCAACAGGAAGGGCTAAATTGATAACACCACGCAACTGAGCGATTAGACCAGAACTTACTTTGAGCAGCATATAAGAGACAAAATTAACACAAGACTCAACTCATTTACACATACCCACACAATGATTGCTTGATTGATAACCTTGCCAAATGTAGTCATGAGAGATCGTAGTGTCAATGTTATTGCTCTAGAGTTCGTATTAACAATGGAAAAGTTTATGATAAATAAAAACGCAATGCTCTTTCATGAGGTTGGAATAGCAACTTCGTTAATTTCGCGAACGATAAGTGCACATCATTTCCCAAGCTCATAGAAAAGTTCCAGGACAAACAAAAAACGCCGAAATCTTGATAAGAAAAAGTGTGGCCTGCAAAGAGTGTCACCTTATAAAAACCTATTTATGTCAAACTTGTCAAAAAGTTTTCCGAGTTAGTTGCGGCCTACGATCTAGGTAAGCTTCCAATTTTTCTAAAAGGGTGCATTAAAAACATCCAGTTATGGTTCAAAGTTAATTTTTTCTCCAAAGCTGATGTTGCATAGCAATAATTTTCAATAAAATTGTGTTGAACTTTATCGTAGAAATTTTCAAAACCCTGCTAGACTCGTTTTGAAAACAGCAAAATGATCAATATAATCGATCCTTTCCCATCCTGTTCGTTTTTGGCTCAATGTAGTCAGCGCATTTCGAATTTGCCCAATTTTGAGTTTTTCACTTTCAATTTTTGTTCAAAATACGAAAATTTTTGTCGGACCCGAGATGTGATCCCAGACTTTTTGATCATGCAATAAGTGACTCCACCCCTCGGCCTAACGCGCTTTTGATGTTCGAATTGTTCTTGAAAGTTTTTTCTTGATCTGACTGTTCTATGTTTAAATGGTACGCATGTAATCTAATTATAGAACAATCAAACAACCTCGAAAGAACAAAGCATTAAAGATTACGAGGTCAAGTTTAAAAAAATAAATTTCGCAAAACTATTTTGGACAATTTTGTCCGGGACATATAGTTTCGTACTGTTTTGTCAAGGACACAAATCTCTGGGACATAAATGTCTAAGCACCCAAATTGGTGCATCGAAAATTTTGTATATTCTTCGAAAGATAATAATACAAATGGGAACGTGGAACTAAGGTTTTGGTTGCTAAGGTTTCCCTTTAATATGTTTTTTTTTGGAAAATTTGTGTAGGTGCTTTCAGGCGGGCTTCTGAGTCTAGCAAACTACTATCAAAATATGAACCTCCAAAAGTTTCAAAGTTTTCAGAAAATTGGAAAAATTTCCTAGCTCAGATTTTTTGCTTGCATCCGTCTAAATCTAAGAATGCAAAAAGGAGCTTTGACAGTAAAAAAACTGCAAAAATCTACTTTGTTCGATGTTTTTAATAATCAATTTGAGCGAACATGATTTATTATTTGCCGTTTAATTGTAATTTATGTTCATATTAGGGTAGATGGACTGGAATGTACGTTGTCATTCTTGGCGCCCTCAGTTTTTACCCTCAATTTTAGCAAATTTGACATAATGACTACTTCGCTGTACTTGTATTACGATTCATGTAGAAACATTCTTTCTTTCTCTTTCTGTCTTTTTTTCTTTCTTTATTGCACGACGCCTCGTTCTAGCTTAGTTTCGAATAAAAGCGTTGAATTTCATATAATAAAATAAAGAAGGTAGTGGTATTGAGTTACTTTTAGGCTGAGCTTGTGATAATATTTGGGAGTTGATGCCACAGCTTTCTTTATTTGATGTCGCTTTCGGTCTACCAAATAGTGGTGTCGTTTGTCCAGGGTACCCAGGTGTAGTTGTGCAGAGGGGGAAGGGAGGTGGGGTCGGGTAGAGGCCACTTGGGGGGAACAGCTTTCGAATAGTAGTAGTTCAGTCTCTGTAATGCGTGGGTCCTCACTGAGACTAAAGAGGGGTGGTCGATGATGTTGATGTACTCACAGGGATCTGCAGTGATGTTGAACATACAAGCACTCATCTGTAGATCCTCAGACCTAAATTGCGAATAAAAAAATTTATGCGAATAAAATGTCAAACGCGGATAAGATAAATGGAATTAGAAAAACTAATGAACCACTGTCGAAAAAATAGAATACAGCGAACTGCAAAGCAGAAGTTGATACTAATAAGTATAGCCGATTGGTGAGAGCGGATTATCTTATTCATTTAAGCAGAATCTTGTCAGCCAGGCTTGCAGCTTTTCCAAAGATCTTCTGCGACCGAAAAATTTAAAACGGTCATTTTCGCCTCTGCTTACATGCATTCGTTTTGACTGTTGGAAGGCTGTTGCCCTTCACATTTTACTGTTGGGCTCGGAGTGACATATGAAGTCATTGGGGTGGATCCTGGAGGGGTGTACCAGCCGGCATTGTTTGGGCAGCCCCCGTAACCGTTCTTCCATTTGCCCACGATGAGTTTGATATCGCCCACACGAACTGCGGAGTAATTTGTCCTCTGGTCCACGTTGTGGAGCAGCTCTTCCCTAGGGGACTCATTTCCAGAGACGAGACTGTTGTACTGGCTCACCTACACTCAGAGACCACGCAAGATTAGTAACTGAACACATCCACAAAACCATCATGATTTTCTTCTTTTAACTCCTTATTTCAGTAAGCAGATCTAAAATTTATCGGGCTTGATCTAATCCGCTTACAGAATTTTAATCGGTCATTAACCTTTAACTCCTTTTGAACGATTACTCTGTTTTAGTTCGTTTTCGTTTTGATTTAATGAATGTTCAAATTTTTTTTAAATGATATGAACAGGTGGGAGGCAACTTACACCATCAAGTTGGGACGGAATGGAGAGTCCAACCGCCTCCAACACTGTTGGAACCCAATCAGCCACGTGCACAAGGCCCTTGCTCACTCTGGCGTCAGCAGAGGTCATGTGAGGCATGCGGACCAGCGCCACGCCTCTGACTCCGCCCTCGTAGAGAGTGTGTTTACTGCCCCTGAGGGGATAGTTGCTAGCCCAGCTGAAGTCACAGTTGAGAGTGGGTCCCCCATTGTCTGTGAGCAGCACCAGAAGAGTCTTGTTCAGCATTCCAGTGTACTCCAGTGTCTGGACGAGTCTGCCGATGTTCTTATCCAGATTGTAGATCATGCCGGCTGTAGTTCTCCTTCGAGGGTCATAGATAGTACGGAACTGATTTACATCCTCTTGGGGGGCCTACGAACAGTCTCACTTTATTAATATTTTGCTTTAAACAACCTTCTTATTTTTCTGTTATCATATATCTACGAGAATAGGACTAACATACGAGTAGTTTAGAGGACCACTGTTGAGACCCTGCCTGAGAACTACGCTTTTTGTTATTTTCTTGGCTGAGAACTGTGAACTCACCAAAACGAAGCCCAATTAAACACAATATTAAGTGTTGTCTAATACATATGTGTGTAAAAAGGTAAACTGCTTATAAAATCGATGGTTGTGAATGAGAGTTCCTCGGCCGACTATTATTAGCAGATGAATCTGTATTAAGGCTAAATTTGAAACTGTTTTAAGCATCAGATTCAAAGCTTTTGAATTCATATTGATTTGCGAAACTCAAAGCAGGTCAGTATGAAGCTAACGCATCACGAATGAAAATACGAATGAAAAGCATCTTTAAATCATCAAAGAAAAAGCAAAAACAAGAGAAAAAAGCGTTTCATTGATCAAAAAAATTATTATTACAAATTCTTTTGCCTCAAACTCAATCTATACCGGTCTTTAACAGGTATTTAATCCGGATCGTCTTTGCTGCTCATTGAGCCAGATTATAACTACAAGGTGGTTTTGTTTGTGTATATTGTAATGAAGCCCTTTCAGTCGTGATTCGACAGATTTTTAAGACAACATCATAGTAATAAAATGTGTCCACTGATACATCATAATGAAGCGTTTTGTTCGCGATGAGATTGAGTTTTTGAAACTATCAAACAAAATTTTTTGGTGTTTTTACTCAAACAGCCTAGATATCTAGCCGGTAGGTTAATTATCTAAGTTGACCAGAGAACATATATCCAGCGCCCATAAAGTTCTGAACTACTTGTAAAAGCTCCCCTTGCAAATTGCAGTGCACGAGCGATTTGAACCCGCAATCAAATGATTGCTGGGCACAGCACCATCACTACCAGAGCACCGCAATGCCACGTATTAGAAAAAGCGAGAAACAGATATGTCCCAAGCTTTATTTTGGTTCTTCATACGCGCAATAATCAAAAACATTAAAAAAACGCTTCGTTTTTGTTTTTCCTTGTATTATATTTATTAAAACTCAAATTTGGCAAAAAAAACAATTGGAATACGTTGAACACGACAAAGTTGAACACGACAAAAATAAGTTGAACACGACAAAAAAAGTATGTATGCTTATTGAGTTTCAAGTTAATATTTTCTTACTCACAAAGAAGCTGCATCATCAATTAAAAAAACTGAAAAAAGTCTTTGATGCAAAAATGATAAACTTCTCTTACCTGTGAGGAGTCCAAAATGGAGCAATATCTCAATCAATCGTTGCCAAAAATTACAAGTGACAACATTGCTTTGGTTTCTACTAAAAACTCGATTTCTCTCCATTATTTTCCTTTCGTGTCTAACGGGATGTTCAAAATAAAGATTCTTTGTTGTTGCCATTTGGGTGGAGACTATTCCAGTTTTAAAAAAAAAGCTGGTCGCTTTTATACTAAATGATTTATACCTTGTTTCGATCGTCACTAAATTTCTATTTTTCCTTGTTTTTTCTTGCTTCTATTATCTCTGGATGTTACTCGTGGTTTGTTTCAAGAACTTTTTCTTCCCCTTTTCGTAACGAAAGTAATGGAATATTTGTGCTCGGGTGGTTTTTTTCTTCAGATAAATTTCGACTTTTTATCTAGCCATTTTTGACGGAATTTTTTTCATCAGTCGAAAGCCATTGTTGTCCTGAGGTCAATTTGGAAAAAATAATTCACCTGTGATCATTTTTCGTAACCTTACGGGAGTTAAGAGAGTGTCATTTTCGCCAATTTGGGACAATTAACGCGCGATATATTTCGCGCTAATAACACGTAAACGGAGATTCAATCCGTCTTAGAAATCGTTTCAAACTGGTTGAAAGAATTTTTTTCTCCCATAAATGATTTGTTAGTAGGAGCAAAAACTATCACTTTGTACTTAAAATGACGTATGGGGGTATGTTTTTAGAAAAAGTCTCTTTTTTTTAAATTGTTATTTTTACTTTATTACATTTAATTTTTTCACGTTAATACTGCTCCATAGACCTTAAAAAGCAGTCGGAACATTCAGGGCTTTGCTCTGATACGAGCAGCCTTGTTGTTCCGACTTTCGATATGAAAGTAACGGAATAATTCTGCTCGGAGTGGGTTTTTTTTCTTCAGGCAAATTTTGACTTTTTAACTAGCCATTTTTGACGGAATTTTTTTTATCATTCAAAAAAATTGTTGTCCTGAGCTTAAACTTGAAAAGTTATTTCACCTGTGATCTTTTTTTGCAAAGTTATGGGGGTTTAAAGATCGGCATTTTGGCCAACTTGGGACAATAAACGCGCGATGATTTCGCGCTATTAACGCGTAAGCGGAGATTTAATCCGTATTAGAAATCATTCCATTTTGTTTGAAGAACAATTTGCCTTCTTCTTAGAGTTTCAACCATTAAGAAATTTGAGGGGCGTCAGCATTTTTACTTATGATAACATGTTGCTACTTTGAGTAAGATAAAGTCCCAAGAAAACAGCCATCCCAATGTCTCAAATTGGTTAAGCTGCTATTCATTGAATAACCAATCAACAGACCGAAAAAGAGTTGGATAAAAACTTTGAAAGTGTAAATTACTTTTACATTTTTTTTTTAGATTCAAAAACACTACTTTTATAGTGTTTTTGATCAGCGCATTTCGTCCAAAAAACTGAATCATTTTGAAAAACTAAAACAAAACCAAATTTTTTTGTTCCACTATAACATTAAAAAATCAAAAAACATTTTGGACACAGGCAAAGCAAAAACAACACAATTATAGCCTGAGTACTACGTAAGAGTGGCTAGGAAACTACATTATTTTAACCCCCCCCCCCCCCCCCAAAGAATTCGGTGTGGCATTACATTACATAGCTTCAACTCCTAAGTGGTCAAAGCTCGTTCATTTTTGGCCAATCATATTTTAGAGGGGGTTAAAGAACGGTATTTTGGGACCACTCTCGGAATTTGGGGATTTTGAAACTTCGTTTCGTTGCATAATTTCCTGATGCAAATTTTGCCGCGCTAAATGGGTGATTGTTTTCTAGTCTTGTACTTATGAAACTAAAAGCCTTAGTTTTTTTTAGTTTTGCTTGGTTGGTATAAACCTGTAAGCTATGTTTGCTATTGATTATGCTTTTGAACTAAATTGAACTCTTTTGATTGCTTTATTCCCAAATTTCTTTGTACAAAAAAGCATGTGCTTTTCACAATTATTCAGAATCATATAAAATTATAGCACGCCGCAGTTTGGGTGGTGTTGGTTATTCAGCCCATTTCACTTTCATCTGCTTCTCGAGCTTCTGTATCCAGGTAGGCACATTCAGTTTCCTGATCTGTTTCAGAACCGGCTGCTCGCTCAGCCGGTCCAAGTCTACTATTCCCGTTTGAAATTCAGAGTCAGAATACTAACGCTGAAAAAATCCCTGCCAGTATATCCACCCTGCGCCTCTAAAATTTCCTGCATTTGGGCACCCACATTATCAGTTGTTAGCTGCGACCCCTCAACGTCCCATTACCCCAGTCAAAAATGCGGCCAGTTTCTTGAAAGAACATTTTTGTCTTCCCGCAACATTTTCTGCCCGATCGCCGTCATATTCATTTTATCTGAATGTATATAATGCTTGTTGTTAAATTCACTCAAGCTGATTTTATTTGTTACAAGTGTTTTCAAGTTCCGTTCTATGGGTCTCATCCGAAAAATCATACATCAAGCAATTGCAGTGCAGGTGAGTACCTCCTTATAGTTTTTGGGTTCAAGTGTCTGTTGAGCATTTTTTCCTGACACCTTTAGCGGATTGTTGATCTTAATAAAAACAGTTTTGAAGCCTTGTTTTCTCCTTCCATAAAATGTTACTTTTAGTCGGAGAAGGTTTTTAAATGTCAATTTTGTCACACATGGTGATTTTAATATTATAGATTGACCCCCTACTTTTACATAAAAATAATAAATGATTGCAAACGCTAATTTAACCACTTCAACTATGCTGTACAGTTTGGATTTCAGTCTCAGAAACTCCTGTATGAGTTTCCAGCAAGTTCATCCTTGAATTTCAGCGTCACGCGTTTGTTTTTGGTGTTAAAGAGAAGATATGTGGGCGAAAATCAAAATGACCAAATTCTTCTCGCCGATCGGCGTTTTTGGCATTATCATTGTTAAAATTGATGCTGTGGATCTCATACAGGAATGAATCATTGTCAGAATACAATAGACCATATGAAATTATTCTTCATAATATTGTAATGTGAACGAAACATGTAGTATTTAGCCAGACCAATAATGGCTTATCCCACTCAAGGTTGACAGGTTTTGAGGAGACAAATACCATTTCAGTATCAAATATTTTCACGATGCTAAATCATTTTTTCTTTGCTAAAGTCCGCAGTTCTTCTGCGCTCCTAACAAAATCAACATTCAGTGGGTTTTTTTGGATTCGCAAAGTTTTCCGAAAAAGCTAAAAAAAGATTTAATTAGAAAACCTGTGCAAACCTGATGGTAGCTTTTTTCACAGCTCAGTGATCAACAGTAGATCTGGCGCAGTGAAATTTTCCTGCCGAAAATGCAGCACTCGATAAATTTTATCAACTATCATGACCAATTTGATGTACAGTTGAATAATGATGTAACTTACTGTATGGTTTTTTTTCGGGAAGAAGTTTTGAACAAATTTCGGAGTAGTTCTCACATTATTAGAAATGTTCAATTTTTTCATCATCTCTGTTTGAACATCACTGAACCACAAATTTGACATTATTTCTCTTGCTGGTGGTATTGGGTAGTCTGAATGAGCATCGTGGAAATGATCGGGTTTGGTGAGGTCACCGTCCAATATGAATCCAATGTCAGAATCCGCGCTCGTATTCATAATCTCCTCTAGTGTAGTTTTGTCATTGAACTCGAATGAATATAGTGGTAGGGCAAATTTCTCCATAACCACGCCATACAAATTATTC